AGGCTGCTGCCACTGCTGCTCTGCTGCCCGATGACAGCCATCTAGAGAGAAAAAGGAGGAGGAAGCACTGGGGGACAGCATGCCCTGAGACCATGTGTGCCAGCAGCCAGGGTGACTCTCTCCTTTCTGGGCACCTGTCCAAGGAGGGCAAGACTTCCTCACCCAAGGGTGGGTGGCACCAGCAGATTTCCCAGACCTGAGGACTGGCCCTACCCACAAGCCTGGGTCTGCCCAGAGCCATAAAGGATGTGCAGGCAGGGGCAGAGCACAGACACACCCTGAACACCTGTGAGTACCGTTCTGTGCCTACCTGGTGAAGCTGGACAGCTGAGACTGGGATCTGAACGGTGCCTGATGGGGCTGTCAGGAACACTTGGGGAACGCCACCTGCCACAGAGAGAGTGCATAAATGACACCATCCCTTAAATAGTGCTCCCCCATAGGTCCTTCCTCTGAGCTCCACAGAGCTTCACAAGGATGAAGGTGCCCGTTTGCATGCACGGAGGCATCCCACAATAAAGCCACATGTGGTAGTTTTGCAAATGCTGGGAGAAGCAGCCACAACCCCTCAATCTAAGTCTTGCCTTCATGGCCTGATTCTTCTTTTCCCCCTCACGCAACCATACACCCTCTCCAGTGTCTCCTAGCTCCCTCCACTGCCTAACCCACACACCACCCATCTCAGCAACCCTCACCCTTTTTCCCCAGCAAACAGCTCAAGTGGTCCTTTACAAAGGAGAATGGCAGGATCTAAAAGCATGCAACAAGCATCATCCTTGCCAGGCCATTGTACAGCCACTAGGAGTGCTTAAAAAGAAAATTCTCTTAAATTAATACAGAGCATAAATACATGTGAGACAAGAAAAATCAGGGTGTCAGAGCACTTAACGGAGCACTGACCCAGACAGCTGTCTTACCCTGATCCTGGACCTGGCCATGGGACACCTGCATCGCTGAAGGCGCCTGTGAGAAAGCGTTGAGGACTGCAAGTCCACCGTCCGCAAGGCCAGATGTGGGCGCGTACATCACCGCATGTGGGCTGGGGTACATCATGTGGCCACCCACAGTGGTTGGCACAGACGACGTCATGATGGTTGCCGGGAGGGTCACTGGCACCAGGACAGACTACATGTGAGCCACACGAAAGGAGTCTGCTACCCTCACATGCCTGCTCAGCACCCCTCCCTCAGCCACCCTTGGCATGCTGTCCTGAAGCAGCAAGTGCATGAGGATACCCATCTTGTTCTGTCAAGCCCTCGGGGAAAAGCTCCAAGGAACAGGCAGGAGAACTTAAACCTCCCACCTCGTGAGTGAGTATGACAGGGCAGAAAAGCACCGTAGCCAAATATTCCAGCACTGAATTCAACTTGAGAGACGAGTTTCCTGACAAAGCTTTATTAAAGCTGTTGAGGTGCATTCAGGCACCTGATTTTGCTGACAAAAGAAGTGTCCTTTGCATATACAGTAAAAATTTCAAGCAGATGTGAGCCCTAGCACAATGCAATGCTGGCTCACTGAGAAACAATCTGAAAACTGGGGAACCTCTTCCCAGCTCCATGCTGCAAGTAAGAGCACATGACATACCTGAAGAGGCTCTGAAATCCCTTTGTAAGGTGCCCTGTGTAGAGCAGCATCTATCTACCTAGTTATAGCATAGCACAGGGGCTGGCAATAGTGATAAATACACCTGAGGAACTGTGAGAAAGGCTGGGATGGAGTTGGTCTGAAGGATCCTAGGCAGGGAGCAGGCATGAGGTCTATTGTTACCAGCTTTGGCTAGGAAGACAGAACATGCTTCCCGCAACGTCCTAGTTACCTGTTCCGCTGGAAGAGGTCTGGGTAAGGTCAGTGCTGCTGTCACTAGAAGGAGACGTTTGCTGCGGTGCCTGGTGCACCTGGATCGCCTGGACTGGGACTTGTTGAGCCATGGTACCACCTGGGGAGAGAAAGGAGCCCTTAAACGTGTGGTTAGGCACGGATACAGCCACTCCAGGCCATGTGAGAGCCCTCCAGTCCTTCTCTGGCTGCATACAGCTCCACTGCATGGCTCTGCACTATGCTGGGGAAGGCTAGCCAAAAGCAGAGCGTGGCAGAAACCAGGCCTTGCCCCAAAGAACAGGCCAAAACCTGCTCTTTCCTTGGCACACAGGGGCTAAAGAAGATTTAGCTGACCTACAGGGCTCCAGAGAGGAAAGGAAAGGCCACAGCAGTTTTTGTCCAGCTTCCAGGCACGGTTCAGGAACGCCTGGGCTCTCCTCATCATTCCTGGCTCCCCCAAGACACAGCACAGATGATGCTGGGAGGAGGGGGCCCAGCACATGCCCCCAGCACTGCCCGTGCTCAGCCAGCCCTGCAAAGATCATCTCACTGCACCAAGCCAAACTGTGAGAGACCAAACGCTCAGGCCGGCCGGACCTTGCTACCTTCACACTGTGGAGCCCAGCTCCATCCGCCACCGGGCACTCAGGGAACAACTATCTCATATAGTTTATCAACATCACAGCACCCTATGAAGAGATATGTGCCCCAGAGCTGCAGTGGCACAGCCACACAGCCTCCAGCCCAAACCACTCACTGCAAAGCTCTTCAACTCCAGAGATGGAGCTCAGCACAGAAAGCTCCCCTCAGGCTCAGGTCCTTTCTCCAGAGGGAAGAGCAAGGGATGCTGAAGAGCAGGAATCACCAGCCACTTCAGTCCGACTGGGCATCTCCCCACGTCCATCAATTCTCTTGGCTCCTCCAGATCACAAAGGAAATCCACTACCCTTGCATGGGATCACACTGTTTGCCAGGGCCCACGGTAGCCAGAAGAGCTCCAGGAAAGCACACAGGCTATCAGGCTCATCAACTCGAGCACAAACAGGCACGACACGAGAAATAGTGTCTCCCCAGATTACGTGCAGCCCCAGTACAGCACCTGGAGAGCCTTGGCTCAGCGCAACAAGGAATTCCTACAAGGGACAATGTACACAAGGCAGTACTGCAGCACCACTCCCTCCTCTGCTCTGTGTCTCTCCCAGTCTATCCTCCACACTGTGGTTCAGTGACTGACAGCAGCTCCAAATACAAAAGCAAGGGCAGCTGCTCAGAGCCAAATGAGAGCACTGAAAAAACATCCATTGGGCATCTCAGCCCCTACAGTCTCCTTCCATCAACCCTCCCAGCAGCACAGTTCTGTCTCAGCACAGCTGCACCAGGGACCTGTCTCCTCTCCATCTGCCAGCCACAGGGCAAGCCCTGGGACAGGAGACTGTCCATCGCTGCTTCCCTTGGCCCACATCCCCTAGGATGCTGCTCCTGCCTATGCCAAGCGTTCTCTGCCTTGTCTTCCCATCTCTCCCCCATAGCTGCAGGCAGGGCACCCTGCGCTCTGCCTCCTCTGTTCTCCCACCTCAGTTGGGCGTCAGCTCCCTGGCCAGGACCAGGACACCCCCACAGACGCCTCCATCCCCCCACCTCAAGCAAGCGGAGGAGAAGCGAGTGCTGACCTGTCAGCGACACGATCTGCCCTCCAGCTCTGGCAGGGAAGCGGAAGACTGTCTGTTGTGCCTGCTGCAGACGGGCCAGCCGTCCCCGTGACCACCTGGCCCTGCTGGCTGGAAAGAGCCAGGGAGTGCGGCTGTAACTGAGTGAGAGGAATGGTAGGGGTCCCCGGAGAAAGGGAAGCACCTGCCAAAAGGAGGGAGAAAGAAAGGCTTTGTCACCACCAAATCTTTTCACTCCCTCTAGGCTTCTCGGTGCTGCCCTGGGGTCCCAGCTCAGCTCCTTGCCACCAGGCCCTTCCCAGCAGCAGGGCCAGCTCGCAGCACTCTAAGGAAACAGTCACTACATGACCCTTCTCCAGCCACTAGCCTGGCTGGGCTCAAGCAAGGAATCTCAGCCAGGTTCACCCTACAAATAGCAACCACTCTGCTTCCTCCTGCCACTAGATCTCCTCTGCTTTGGAGAGGGCAGCAACACACTCCAGGTGCTGAGACGGATGGATGCAGTCCTCAGCCCCTAAAGGCACTGACCTGACATGAGGGTGAAGCTGGTGGGTATCGGCATGAGGCCCCCAGATGTCACTGCACTGGTTCCAGTAGTCTTCAGCACTGTCCCGTTGGCACTGGTGACGGCATTGGGGCTGATGCTGGCAGACACTGGCGCCAGGTAATTAGTGATGGGGAATGACGGGCCGCTGCTGACCTGCATGGAGGTCGAGGTGGTGGGGGCTGTCTGGATGGTGGACGTTGTCCCCGGCAGGTTGGTGACAGTGAACGCTGGTTTCAGTGCGTCCTGGGGAAGGAGAGATTGCGACAACTCAGACCAGCCCTTGTATCTGGTCAACACCTGCCCACAAGCCCAAACCAGGCTCTGCAGGTTGCACCCCAATGCTAAATCATACCCCCACAGGCTGCTGCCAGCACATGGAGCAGAGCCAGGGTAGCTGAGAGGAGCTGCTTGTACAAACACGAGGAGACTGTGCCCAATAATGCAGCATGAGAAGAGCTGGAGAGAGCTCAGCGTAAACCTTGGATATGAGCCCAGGGCCACAGGGGTCCCCTGAGAGACTTCCCCGCAAGACACCAGGGGACAAAGAAACTCTTCCCCTCCCCAGGAGCCTCCATAGCCTCCAAGAAGAGAGCAGTCTCTTTTTGGCACACAGCAGGCAAAAGCAGTCCTTTCAGGGACAGAAGTAAAGGCAAACACAGTCTCCTGTCAGGAACACACACCACTTCCCTTATGTCAGGAAACACACGGCCAAGAACAAGCCGAGAACTGGCTCTTAAAAGCAGCTGCACACTGAAAGCAGCAAGGGAGAGGTGAGTAAGGCCAAACCTGGACACCAGGGAGGCCCAAACCCAGTCCTGACAGCTGGTTTGGCAGGCCCTGGGCAATACCTCCACAAATCTCCTGCAGGAGAGAACCTGGCCAGGGAAAGCACCCATTTTCCAGTCTCCTAGCAGGAGACGGGACACAGGACAAACGCTTCCAAGGGTCCCTGCGTGTTAGCTACAGCCGGCACACACCACAGTCTTGCAAGGAGTGTTGGAGCTCTATGTCTGTCTGAAGACAGCATTGCCAGGAAAGTTGAGTATCAGGAGGAAAAGGGACCTGTGATGGGCCACTGTTAGCCTCAGTGCCTGGCCACCTGGCTCTGGGAAAAAGGGAGGAACACGTATGTCAGGCTGCAGGGCACAAAACATCCCAGTTTCCACGATCTCAAAGCATGTGGCTGGACGTGGCTTAGATCTGCAGGAACCAAGCAAGCCCAGCAGCACGATCCTCACCGCCCCTGACAGGCACACCTCACCTAACAGACTTCCTTCCCCCAGATCCCCTTTGGAATGCCCCATGTTTCCATACCTCCTCTATTGCCCTGTTCAGCTGGCCAAGAGCAGGCTGCAAATACACTGCTCCACAGGAGACCATGCCACAGGCCACGAGGGACCTGCTGTCCCTGTACCCTGCCAACGTGGGAATGTCTAAGGCTGCCACACTCCCACCCCTCCTACTGCAAGCTGGTGGGCCCAGCTCTCCCACGTGCTAAGCCTTGTTCCCAGCTTGTCAAGCTGCCAGGAACGAGGAATTCACAGCTCAACGAACAGCTAAAAAAGGGAAGGCAGCCCATTTTGGACAGGGGGAGCCAATCCCGGGCACTCCACCATGCCCCAGGGCCTGGGGAGGGAGGAGAGCAACGTCTCTCCGCCTTGGCACCGCCGTCCCTGAAGTCCAAATTAGAAGAGGCACGTGATAACAGAGCAGAGTCCAACAGAGGCACTTTCCATTAGCTCAACCACAAACTCCTGCCATCCCACATGGGACACAGGCTCTGGGTGCCCTCCCCACGTGGGTGACAGGGCAGAGCTCCCACCAGCCCATGGAAGCCACAGCAAAGCAGGGGTGGGTCCTGTTCCCAGCTGGAAAAGTCAGGCTCCCTCACACCCAGACATAGCCCCGAAGCTGTACACCCCTGATATACAGCCCCCAAGCAGCCAGGGCACTTTGCATCCCCCCCACACTCCATCCTCAGGGCTGAAGGATGCATCCCAAAAGATTCACAGCGCCCTAATCAGGCCCAGAAGCAGAAGGGCAACCCCCAGGGTGATCAGACCAGCAGAGGTACTTGGGAGGGATGCTCTGCCAGCAGGCTTGAACCATGCACGTCCATCTCTGCCCCCTCAATCCGCCACAGGTGAGACTCAGACTCCTCCCACCTGCGCTGTGTTTCTCTTGAGCTGCAGCAATAGCTGCCAGTACAGGAAGACATCTGGGCGAGACCTTGGGACTGGACACCCTTTCCCTTCTTCCCACGTCCGGTATTTCTCAAAAGCCCCTGAGCACTTCAGCTACTCCCGGCACCCCGCAAAGCCCAGACTACATGCACAAGGCTAGCCTTCAACAGGAGCCAAGGCATGGGTCACCTTCAACAAAGGTTCTCCGAGGGGCCATGGAGAAGCCCTGAGGCAGCACAGCAACCCCTTCCCCATCCAGCTGCACATCCATTCCCCACCATAGCTCGCTGCAAACTTCAGCTTGCAGAGCAGTGCCTGGGGAATCAACACACAGCAGAGAGGTGTAGCATGGCAGCAGGAGATGTCTGCACAGATCCACACCACTGTGCGTGCTTGATAAATGCCGCACAGGCAGGGTGGACCACAGGTCATGGCCCAGGCCACTTGATGCCCATCCTGGACCGCAGCAGGGTTGTGAGGACAGAAACGATCCCACTCCACAGCTTCCGGGCACTACCTGGGACAACACTGTGTAGTATGGCCCAGACCCACCAAGCCAACACTATTACGCAGGTGTTGCAGGACAACCAGTCTTGGAGACACATGGGAAATCCCAAACTCGTCTCCAACACTTGGTCTGCACTCCAGATGGGGCAGAAAGTTCCACCCTTCCCACTCCATAAAGACATGACCAGATCAGGGCTACTCCTACGCTCTCCCTGCAACCGAGAGCCCCTGAGTTCCGTCCAAAACTCCCTCTCTCATATAACCACACAGAGGAAATTACACGAGGGCACCGAGTCCTTTGCAGCCCACAAAAGATCAGGCAGGTCAGCACACAACTATCATTGCGAGGATATAGCTGCTGTCTTGAAAGTGCAGCATTCCCCATTCCCAGCTGCAGTCCAAGCTCAGCTCCATGGCAGGGACTTCAGATTTGGCATGGCAGGACCAGCCCGTAGCTGCCGCTGGCTGTAGCACAAAGGAACGCCAGCAGGCTGCTGCTTGTAGGTAACAGCCTGGCTGCACTGCTCCCACACTGCTGCAGCAGCTGAACACCGGCAGATTTTGTCCAGAGGTCCGGGAAGCAGAGTTCAGAGAAAGGCAAGGGAGCAACAGCCCAGTCCTCTTAGAGCATCCTACGTGGCTGGGCCTGACAGTCCAGGCACCTTATTTCCTGCTATCCCCTCCAACAAGGCACCTGTAACCCAGCCCTGTGTACCACTCACCCCTCAGCAAGGATACCAGCCACCTAGCACAGCCCACCCACAGGCTCCCTTCACCCTCAGCGGGCTTCTTGGTCTATCTGAATTGGGTTGATCTCTGCCAGAGCTCCAAATCAGGCTTCCAGCCCTGCAGAAGGCAGGGCAGGACTGGGGAGAGTCAAGGTGGGACTGTCCCCAGCCCCAGGGCTTGCCATGACATGAACTCTCAGCATGCCATGGGCAGGTTTAGCAAGAACGTAAAGCAGAAGACAGGGTTACAGGGCTCCTCCAGCCCCATGCCAGACGCTGCCTCTGCCCACAAGGCACCCCACACTAAGCATTATCACTCATGAGTACTGAGATGGAGCTTGCAGGGTTTCATTAGAAAGCAGGCAGAGAGCAGTCATGTTAAGATCTCCTCTGCCCAGCAGCTGCATGCCAAGAGCACGCTTCCTTTGGGGCCACCCAGCACTACTTTCAGGGAAACTCCTCCAGGATGTGATGTGGAAAAGCCCCATGCCTGGGACAGGTCAGCTGCCACGCACAGCACTTCCCACACCTCCAAATTACTCCAGGCACAGGTTATTTGCCTTATTACAAAATGCCCACAGGACTTGTCTTTTGATCTAGGAGAAACATAACAGAAACAAGTCCTTACAAACGTGGGCTGCACAAGCGAGAAATTCTGGTGACAATGGGATCCTTTGCCTACTGGAAAGGGCTGCCACAGCTCGCACTAGGAATCAGAGGCACTCAGGGGGATTCACATCAGACTAGGACAACCAGGACTGTTATTGGGCTTCCATCAGCCAAAAGCCTTCTCAAGGACTCTTCCGGACTCCAGTACAGAGCTCTCCAGCCAGCAACACCTTGGCCACCAGAGCTCCCCCACCTGCAGTTGGTCTGAGACTGCTGATACTTCTCAGGGCTCAGCGGTGATAAGATTTTACTTGGTGCAGCACTGCACACTCATGGGGAAGAGGGCATGGAAGAAAGGTGGCACCATGAGCAGAGCTGTTGGGCTGCCACAGGATACAAACACAGAACCGATCACACCCCTGCAGCCCCACACAACATGATCGGCATGTCTCAAGGCTGCACTCACTGCCTTTGAGACTGCAAACACCCTTCTCCAGGTCTGCTCTGCTTCAGGTTTTAGTGGCTACCGTATGGCAAGGATGGTGCTGTGGCTTGTGTACAGTTGGCTGGAGGGCTCCTTGAGCAAGGCCACAGTTCACCTGGAAGGATGTTTTTGCAGCAAGCCCAGTACCCATGCACAAGTAGAGCAGAGCTGCAGCCACTTGCAGCATCCAATGGCACTCCACACTGTGGCACAATCCCCAGTTCAGCATGTCGTCCCAGCCTCGCACCACAGATTCCCCTGCCTCCCACCTCCAAGCGCCTGCGGACTCGAGCACCAGCCTGTGAAGGAAGCAGCAGGGACACGGGAGACAGCGCTCTTTGCAACAGCTCTGAGGAACAGCACCAGGGGATGCAGGGACAAGACAAAGCTCCTCCAGAAAAGGGCCACTGCCCAACTCTGCACCCACGGGCAAGCCCTCTGCAGCACCCTGGGCAAGAGGCCACAAGTAACACGGGGCAAGGGCCGGCGCCTGGAGGGACACCAGGCAGGGAACAGAAACGGTCCATCCAGCCAAATGTTTCCATTCCCCATGTCCTCCCTGCCCCCTTCCAAAACAGCACCAAAGCAAGAGACAGCTGCAGCTTATAAGGAATGTGAGGGGCCCTGCCAGGGACTCTGGCGAGGGAAACCAGGCCTTATAAGGCCATGGAGGCAGAATCAAATTTTTATCAATGAGTGCAAGAGCATGGAGACGCCCGGGGAGAGATAACAGCACCGAGAGAGCTGCCCAGGGGGGTGGGCTGGGCTGGTGGGGAGCTCCCGCTACAAAGGCCAGGGCCAGGACACCTGCACACCCACTTCCCTCCCTCTCCGAATCACCCCTACCACCAGCCAAGCGAAGGAGCCAGCCCCAAGAGGCCACAGCAAAAGCTCACTGGAGTCACAGCCAAAGGGGTCCTGTCCTCAGTTTCCCAAGCTGCTATTCAGGAAGGACTGGGGATGATCAGGACCCCCAGCATAGCTCCAGGGGGACAACTGGCACCTCCCAAGGTGCCCATCCATGCAGCTGAGCACGGGAACGTTACCTTGGTCTCCCCACTGCTGTCCGACTCGGACACCTGGTAGGTGAGGTCCGTCTCCTCAAAGCCCGTGGCGCTCATGCGCTGGTCAGTGGTTGGGTCCGAGCGTGGGGGCGAGTCTGGGGAGTTGAGGCACGTTTGGATCAACGCCTTCCCCGTCTCACTGGTGATCATGGGCTGCAGCTTCCGTGTGGCAAACGTGTACACATGGCCCGTCTCACTGGCCACCAGCAGCAGGACTTGAGTGCCAGTCAGCGTGGAGAGCTCATAGGCCTGCCAGCAGCACAAGAGAAGAACAGCGAGTCACAAATGGCAGGGACACATACAGTGTGGATCAAGAGTCACGTCCTTGCGCTCCCAGCACAGTCCTCTTTCTGCTCACGCCAGCTCTGGCTCCCTGTCACCCCAGAGGAGCTGTGGCCTCTAAAAGCAACTCAAGATTGGTTCCCTACAGGTTGAAGTGCCCCATGCTGTGCTCCCATCTCCTTCATCATGCCCTTTGGGGATGTGCATGCCAAGAGGCCACAGGAAAAAAGTGGTGCCCTCAGGAGCGTAGCCTGAGGACACAGGGACACTTGGCCA